TCTTACTGTTTTCTTTCATCCAGACAGTTGTATTTCTTTCAGACCATTATTTGTTGTAAATTCTAAAATGCTCATGAATTGCGACTCCAGATCTGGGTGGTAGTAGTTAATACATATTTATGATATTCTGCACTTGCTATATTTAGTTATAGTTAATTAATATTAATTACTGAATGAAAATAAGAAATTGGTAAATAATTCTCTAACGTTGGCTTGCTTAGCAAGTGAAATGTTAGGCGCCATCACGGTTTCGTCGGTGGAAAATTTCGGATCGTGACACTTAACTATGTATTTAACCTTAAGAAAATAATGAACAAACTAAAGTGAAAATATATATCACCCAACCATGGTTAAGTGTTAAAAATTATAAATGCACGACAAATTTCTTATATTCATTGGTTTGGTATAAACATATGATGCAAATAAGTTTTTATCGTCTTTCGTCCCTTATTATTTTTAGAGAATAGACAACTTAATAAGAGGAAAAGAAAGAATGTAAAATACAAGTTTTATTATGAGAAAGAGAAAAATAATATTAATATTAGAATGTAAATTTACTATTAGTCGCCACAAATCACATTGGCTAAATAATACTCTTTTTTAGAAAATTATTATATACTCTTTTACCATAAATATTCAATATATATTGAAAAACAATTATCATAGAATTAAGCTATTATTAATTAAAAATGGGCCTAAATATTTGGGGGCCTAAAGCCATTGCTTCATTNTATATATATATATCGTATTATCTATACATAATAAAAAGGATAGGCAAAGACATCATATTAAACCAAGTGACATCGTAACAAAAAGCATCTTAGAAATTTTGTGACAAAAATATTATTATTCATAAGCCAAATGTCAAGATACTTAAAAAATATTCTCTAAATACTCGTACCGAAAATAAGTAAGAATTTACTAGAAAAAAATTGTCTTTTGGACCAATAATTGAGTCAAGGAGAGAAGAAACCTCAGTCAAAAGTCATCTTATTCTTGAGATTAATGTATGGCCATCCAATAATTTGTTCTTGTTCTCGGATTTCTGCCTTAAGCAAAGAAGAAACAGTTAGTTTAGTCTCACGAATTGTTCAATGGAAATAATTTTTAATGCTGTAGGTGGTTTTGTTGTTGAGGTGGGGAAGTTGGTGTGTAAATGCATCTATCCTAAGATTGAAAATACCGTCCGTTTCACATCAAATGTTGAAAGTGTAAGAGAGGAAATGGAGAAGCTAACAAAGTTTAGAGATGATATCAAAGAGGAGCTGGAAATAGCTAAGGAAGAAGGCTATAAACCAAAACCAGAGGTTCTCAAGTGGGTCGAACATGTTCAAAAGCTGGAGACTGACTGGGAATCTATGCAAGAAGACATTAAGATGGTTGCATATAAATGTTGTCCAAATTGCAGTCTTCGCTCGGAAGTCTCCATTCAAGCACGAATGATGCGAGAACAACTTTGCGAGCTTAAAAACCCAGTGTGATCTTAAATTGTTTAGGATTGGTAGTTGCTAATTTACGACAACAACAAACCCAGTGTGATCCCACGTGTGGGTCTGGGGAGGGTAAATATATGTAGACCTTATCCCTGCCTTCAAGAATAGACTGTTTTTGGATGACCATCGGAAAAAATAAAAGAAAGGCAGCAGCAAGCACACCAGTCAGAAAACCAAAGCCAAAATGCAAAGATACGCAGCGGTCTTGGCCGCAGTAAAAACAATTCCTTGTTGATAGTTAAAGTAGATTTTGTACTAGTACTACTCTTTTCTAAAGGAGGTTAAGTTGAAAAAGTTGAGATCAAGAAATTATGATCAAAGCCCTTCTGCTCTAGTTTGCTAAAATTCTTCTTTATAACCAATTTTCCATCCATGACTTGTGGGTAAATTTCTTTTTGGTAATTTGAATCCTTTCAGGTAGGCATCATTGGTGTATGGGGTATGGGAGGAATCGGCAAAACGACTTTGGTGAAGAATCTGAACAATGAGCTCGTAAAGACTGCTGTGTCAAGCTCTAAACTGTCTTTTAGTGTTGTGGTATGGGTTACAGTGCCCAAACCGCCAACAGACATAAGAAAGGTTCAAGCACAAATTGCCAACAGATTAAACCTAAAGGTAGACAGTGAGGAAAGCGTAGAACGCATTGCCAGCAGAATTCATCAGAGGCTCAAGGAAGAAAAGAGTTTCCTTCTTATACTCGATGATGTTTGGCAAGCTATAAATTTGGATCATGTAGGTGTGCCCCAACCTGAAGATCCCGCAAGAAGCAAGGTAATTTTAACTTCTCGTTTTGTTGATGTTTGTAGGCAAATGAAAACAGACACCGAAATGAAGGTGTTGACATTTGATGAAGATGAATCTTGGCAAATGTTTGTCAAAAATGCGGGAGATATTGCCAATCTGGAGCATATTCAACCAGTTGCAAAGGAAATTGCAAAGGAGTGCAATGGATTACCTTTAGCAATCACTGTCATAGGAGCATCTATGAGAGGCAAGAAGAGGGTCGAGCTTTGGAAAGATGCTTTGGGATCACTTAGAATGTCAGAACCTCACAACACAGATGTAAAAGATAATGTTTACAAGGTCATCAAGTGGAGTTTTGATTCTTTAGAATCTCAGGATATTGAATTATCCTCAGAGCGAAGAAGCAAACATGTGAACAAAAGGGGAGGTGACATTCAAAGTTGTTTCTTGTATTGCTCCTTATATCCTGTGGCTATTTCAACAGATGATCTCATACATTGTTGGTGGGCGGAGGGGTTCCTTGGAGAACGTAACACATATGAAGAAGCCTACAACGGGGGAATCACAATGATTGAGAGTCTAAAAGATGTCTGCTTGCTAGAAACCCATAAGTCGAACTCTGTAAAGATGCATGACGTGGTTCGTGATGTTGCTATATGGATAGCTAATTCCTTTGGGGGTGAGCACAATTCTCTTATTCAAGCTGGAATTGGGTTGAGTGATATATCACATATTAAAATGTCTACTTCTGTCAAGAGAATATCTTTCATAAGCAACGACATTGAATGTCTACCTGATGGCTTGATGGAATGCCCAGTGACCACAACTTTACTTTTGCAACATAATTATCCCCTTCAAAATATTCCCCATGAACTTTTTCTTGCATTTCCAGCCCTAAGAGTTTTGAATCTGAGTGGAACTGGTATTAGAGCACTGCCTTCTTCCATCAATAGTTTATATCAACTGCGTGCTCTAATACTACAATATTGCATTGGGTTGACAGAGTTACCACCTATTGGTAATCTCTGCAATTTGCAATTGCTTGATTGTGATTATACAAGGTTACATCGTCTGCCGCCAGGAATGGACAAGTTGACAGATCTCAGGCGTTTAACTGCAAATTCTTTGGAGAGCATCGACCAAGGAATTCTTCTCAAATTGGCTAGCATGGAAATGATAGATGTGCTGGGTACCCGTCTTGAATCAACTTGTTTTGATGAGCTCTCCTCTCTACAGAAGCTGACCTCTCTTTTCATCAGTATGTATAGTTCATCAGTTTCTAATAGAGACCACACCTGGATGTCTAGATTGAAAAGATTTCACATTGTAGTTGGGGAAGTTCTAAGGCATATAGATTTCAGCAACTCACCAGCGAAAATAACTATCTACAAGTGTGAAATTTTCAGTAAGGGAGAGCTCTCAGGCATGTTGCAGTTTGCTTCAAATTTGTCCTTGCAAAACTGCAAGGGTCTCAGGAAGTTTATTGCATACAACAGTTTTAATGGAATAAAAGAACTTACAGTAAATGACTGTTCTTGTGATTTCAAACCAGCAGAAAAAGGAAGTGGACGGTTTAACCCTCTACCAAATCTGGAACATCTCTGCTTCTTCAGGATACAGAATTTAGAGAGTGTATCTGATATCAGTCATCTTCTGGGTCTAAGATTTTCTAAATTACGCAGACTAGATATTTTGGGTTGTCAAAGATTGAGATGTCTCTTTAACGTTGGTGGAGCTTTTTCTGTACCGAAGCACCTGGAACATATTGAAATTGCCCATTGTGATCAGCTGGTAGAGTTGTTTGTGCAATGCGGCTCAAGTCAAACGACACTTGCCAACTCAGAAATTCCAAGAGTTCGGAAGTTACTGTTGGAATACTGTGCAAAATTAGGAACTCTAGGCGAGACACCGAATACGTGGGAACACCTGGAGGAACTTAGTTTGATAGAATTCAATCAAATAAAGAAATTGCCTCTGTCTATTCAAACCTCCAAGAACATCAAAGTAATAAGAGGACTATCAGAATGGTGGAACCGATTGGAGTGGGATGCCGACAATTTCAAGTCAAATTTAGAGCATTGTTTCCAACCACTTTATTAATACTGACAGAAGGATCAAAGTTGAGGCTACTTCCACTGCATTTCAGGTGATTTATCAATTATGAAAATGTCAGTGGTACTGTACTTGATTATTCGCCCACTAGCATCCTTTTATTTAGAACTAATAATTTGGACATTGATTTTGTTCCTAGACTTCTTCATTTATTTCCTGTTAGACGTCAAAACTCATTTACAAGAAAGATGAACAGATAGGCTACTGGTGTAGCTTTGAGATATGTCCCGATTGACTCATTGTTGCCTCATGCAGGAGTGGACTAGAAGAAGGAACTTCCTGCACCAGAAAAACAGAGTTTCGAGCCAAAGTTAATTGGTGGAGTTTGTTGTGATGCATTTCATATCTTATACTTTTTCTGCCAATAATTATTCCTTGTTTGTACTATTTTTCTTCTTTCTGGTTCTGATATTTTGATTGCTTGACTGTATACTGAGTAATTTTTTGTTTAAGTTGTGTTGTGTAGTAAACTGGTGTTGCATCTGTGTTTAAACACTTCAGACCATTCTTAAATTGTACATTCAAAAATTTGGCCTATGTCCTTGCTTTTGTACAATTATGAGCTAAAGTGCCATTGAGGGAAGAAAAACTTTTTTGGAAAACTAAATCACTTAAAACATATATTTTACATATTTACAGAGTCAATACTCTGCAGATTACAGCAGATTACATATACGACTAACTGATGTTAGTCATTGTGAGTGGTGAAGTGTAATATCTATGCTGATTGTGATGCTAACTAGCTTCACAGTTCAAATCTGGATCATCAACTGTGTTGAAGTACAATGTGGAAAGTTTGTCATCAAATTTGGAAACCAGTTGATGGACAGACAATCCGCAGTAACGCTTCCCTAGTCGAGCGATAAAAATGTCAATTATTTTCTTGAACATGTCATCACCTTGTATTAGGGGCTGCTCCACAAACTCAGCTAGAGGCATCCACTGCATCGCGAACAGAAAGGCAGGTTAAGTAAATGCGAGGTAGCATAAAACCACACACACTAGTAAGAAGTGGGTCCGACTCAACTCCTAAAGTTAGATCATGAGGTGAAGATTGTCCAAAGAAAAGAACTAACACATTTTCCCACTCAATATGAGACACTTAACATCCCTCGCATGCCAGGATTGAACATCTTGTGCATGGACAATATAGCATTGCCCAAAGCCAAGAACAGGGATGGGTGTGACGAAACCCAAGATCATGGTTGGTCTGACTCTGATACCATGTTAAGAAAGCTCGCTCATCAGGCGAGAAAACAATAAATTCCCTAAACCAATGTGGAACGTTAAACAAGAATGAAATTCCAAAAGATGAGTAATATTCTAAATATTAACGTTAAATGTTAGTTACTATAACTCCAGAGGGATGGGATGGGGTGAGAGTTGTTCTTCACGAAAGTTTTAAAATCCGAAGACATTACATAATAAGGTCACACACCATTGGACAAGATATTGTTAAACTGAAATTATCACTTAGTGAAGGAAATACAGATATCAAATCTATTTTTATTGCCTATTAACTTATACAATATGCTTACCTTAGCAGCCTTAATTTCTAGATCATCAACCTTGATATGTTTTGACAGGGGCCTTAATAGGCAGACGAAGAACAAATCGGACTTTTCAAAGGCCACATTTTGTGCGTGCCTGAAAGAGGACATCGATAAGTGTTAATTAAAAAATGGAGACTGTAAAATAAACAATTAGAGTCCAAAATTTAACCAGCATTTCACTTGACACTTTAAACTAAGGTTTAGAGTGTGATTGTCTCACATAGCATGAGTGAGAGCAAGAAGCTCAATTAAGCTTGAAGATGGGCAGTTTTTATTGTAGTTGGAAGAAAATAAATCTTATATTTCTGCATCGGATGCACATCCTTTTCGATCAATTTGTTACACCAGAAAGCAAGAAGTGTCCTAAACAATGAAGTCTAGGGGAGCCTTAGCGCAATGATAAAAGTTGTCGCAATGTGACCAGGAGGTCACAGGTTCAAGCCGCAAAAACAACCTCTTGTAGAAATTGCAAGGTAAGGCTACATACATACGACACAATGTGGTCTGGCCCTTACACGAACCCCGCATATAGCAGGAACTTAGTGCATCGGGCTGCCCCTTTTTAGAAAGCAAGAAGTATCCTAAACTTCTACGTTCTATGTGTGTCAGACAAATTTTGCTCGGATACTTATCGTATCAGCATTTCATGTTCTTATAAAATAGCTAATATAGATCTTCCTAAGTGATGTTTGGCATATTTCGATATGTGTTGATGTTACTTTACCCATGTTTTAACCGCTTTT